ATTGAAAACAGAGGAAGTGAAACATAGAGATAATTTACCTGGATAGCTTGAAGTTTCTGGCTCTTCTCATCAAACATACAACCATGCGATGTTGGCTCTTCTCATCAGCCGTTTAGTACTTGCATCTACTAAGAGAGGAGATCTAAAAACCGCTTTTCCAATCTACCTCCATATACCATATCCATTATCATATTTGAGGTCGATGCATGCATAGAAAAGTCATTGATCCGCATTTCTTGTATCAGCTCGATAACCATCGATGGAAAGCGACTTCTAAGACGACCCCTGATCAATGCGTTGTACATACCAGCGTCGGGAAAACAACCATCCTCTTTCATCTTCCCAATTACCTTCTCGGCTTCATAGAGTGAATCTTTTCCGCAAAGTCCGGAGATCATTATGTTATACATGATAACATTCGGCTTCACCCCTCTATCAAGAAGCTTATTAAATAATATCAACGCTTCGTCAACCCTCCCAACCTTGCACAAACCATGCATCATGCAACTATGGAGAGGTATATCGAGGTCAATCACACTCTTACCCAACTTATTATAAAGGCAAAGTGCCTTGTCCGTTTTTCCATTCTTACAGAGTCCATCAAGCAAAATGATGTAAGTCACAAGATCAGGACGATGACCCTTATACTGCATCTCCATAAAAAACTTTTGGGCAGCACCAAGGTTGCCTACTCTGTAAAACCCTTGGATGAGGATGTTGTATGTAATCGCATCAGCAACCAATCCTCTTCGAGACATCTCATAAAAGAGATTAAGACCCTGATCGACCCTATTAGCCTTGCAGTAACCATTTATCATAGAACTAAAAGTTACTACATCAGGTACAATCCCACAACTATCCATCTTTCCGAAAAGGTTCAGTGCACCCTCCACGTGTCCGGCTTTGCAAAGATAGTCGATGATCGTATTATAAATTACGATATTGATCTCAATATGCATTTCCTCCATCTTCTCGAGTAGATTCATGACCAATGCATAATCTCTTGCCTTACAGACCCCGTTTATAACAATGGCAAATGTAACTACATTGGGTTGATAGTCCATCTTTAGCATCTGATCAAGTAAACTCAATGCTTTAGAAACTCTACCCTCAAGGCAAAACCCGTTGACCAAAGTGTTAAATGTTACAACATTAGGTTTGTATCCCTCTTCCACCATTTGGTCAACCAAGTTTAAAGCCGCTGAAATCTTGCCGTGGATACAAAAACCATGAGCTAAGATATTGTAGGTGACTACATTCGGTTTGTAACCGAGTTTCAAGATTTTGCCCACGACAGATAAACCCAAAAACACTTGAGGAGAGTGGGAGAAACAGTTGATGAGAACATTCAAAGAGTAGATATCATGTGAAACCCCAAGCAATTCCATTTTCTTGCAGAGG